GACACTAAAGCCAAAAATATGGCAGTTATAATTTGGATTGTATAGTCATGAATATGGTTTCTTGAGGACTATATGGTAACAAGAAATGTGGATTTCCAGTCTCAAACTCCAACCAGTTGTGTCAGAGGCTAGTAACATGTTTTAAGAGGTACTGATCTTCCAACTCAACATTTTTCATTAAAGAGCAAGCTCCCTACAGAAGGATACCAAACTTTCCTTACATTTTTCCTTCACTTTTAGTGAAAGAAAATAGAGTAGGCATAGTCTATTTAAACCTAGTTTAGTAAATATATTCATTTACCTAGGATCTGGCCACTCAACAGCTATAGTAGCTTCCAAGTGGCAGCTACCTGCCTGCGTTCTCTGAGAACACATTTTAAGTCCCTGGGCTCTTTCGTGAATGAAACACTTTGACCCAATCAGGATTTAATAGAAAATCATTACCCAGTTCAAATTTAGCTAGGCTCACCTCTAGGAGCTCAGTAATGGAGTTTCTATATAACCTCTCAAACATGTATGTAGAATGATATACATAAGGAGAAATGAAAGGTATAAAAATCTGGTTTTATATATATATATAATTTTTTTATATTTATATATATTTATATAATTTATATTTATATATATTATTTGTATATATAAATAAAAATATATATATAATATATAGCTTATATTGCTATAATCTACTCAGCAATGAAATAAGACCCCTGCACTAGCTCAATCATTGACCTTACTGACTTGATGTCATTCTGTCCAAACTCCTATCATAATTTCTACTAATTTTAATGTCTGCATAGATGATCCCTCCAATACCCCGACCTCTCAGTTCCTTGACCTACTCTCAATGCTCTACATAGACTAGGGGGTCAACAAACTAGTACCTTGCAGTACCAATAATGAAAATGCCCTTAATCTCAATTTCAAGCATTCTGCTATCTAAACATTATCACCCATCTTTCCATCTCCTTTCCTCTAGTACCCCAGCAATTTTTCAACCCTACAATTCACTGATCTAACTACCTGTCATTCTTTACCCACTCCATTCTTGCTTCCCTCTTCACCCAGCCTTTTGATTCCATTCTGCACCATTATAATCTCTCCCACATCTTTGACTCCACTGCCCCTTTCATTTGTTGTATTTATGTTAGAACCATAAGCCAAATAAAAAACTGTCTACTTCCTACTTGAATCTGTTCAGTGTTAAGTAGCTAGAGAAAAAATTCAGTCACTGAATTTTAACCTCGTCTTATTTTAACCTCATGTTGGCCATGGCGGATGCCCATCAATCCTACTGCTTTCTCATCTTTCCTCAAACTTTCAACACCTCCTCCCCCAGCCTGTTGATTTTATTGAGAAAACAGAAACAGTTGAAATAACTTCAACAAAATCTCTCCGCCCTACCAACTACCAATTATATGCTGCCTTTCCTCATTTCTATGAATGTTATTCAATGTCGCACTATGTGTGAAAGACCCCATCCTCCCTTGCCTATTCAAGAACCTCTCCTTTCTCTCAGATCATTAATATTGCCTCTCAAAATTTCCATCATTAACAAAAAGATATAATATCCTGCATCTTAAAACAAAATCTGGTGTCTCTCAGATTAATTTTCCTTCTCAAACATTTCCATCAACAACAAAAACACTGAATCATCTTCCTGTATCTTAAAACCCTTTATCATACATTCCCTTCTGAAAACCTCATAGGAAGAACTGTAATATCTATCTTCTATTCCCCTCCTTGCAATCTCTGTGGAACTCCAATCAAGCTTTTGCTTGCCAGTATCCCCGTGAGCCCACTCTGATCACAGCCATCAGTTATCTCCACATTGGTCAATGTTCAGCCGTCATTGACTTAATTATCAGCAACATCTGAGAGTTGATCGCTCCTTGAAACTGTATTCACTTGGTTTAGTGGACTACCCTTTTTTTAATTTTTATTTTTTAATTTATCAATATACAATGTAGTTGATTTTCGTGTCCCTTTACCAATTCCTCTTTCCCCCTCCCTCTCCCCCTCCTACCCATCAACATCGTATCTGTTCACTTGCCTTAACAAGTTCAAGGAGTTGTGACTGTTGCCTCTTCTTCCCCACCCTGCCCCCACCGTTTGTTTGTACATTTATTTTTAGCTCCCACAAATAAGTGAGAACATGATATTTCTCTTTCTGTGCCTGACTTATTTCACTTAATTTTTTCTAAGTCCATCCATTTTGCTGCATATGGTAATATTTCATTCTTTTTTATAGCAGAGTAATATTCCATTGTGTAGATATACCACATTTATCCACTAACGGTTGACATTTGGGCTGGTTCCAACTCTTGACTATTGTAAATAGTGCCACAGTAAACACTGGAGTACAGGTAGTAACCCAATTAAAAAATAGGCAAAGGAGCTGAATAGGTACTTTTCAAAGGAAGATATAGGAATGGCCAACAGACAAATGAAAAAGTGCTCAACATCACTCAGCATTAGGGAAATGCAAATCAAACCACACTGAGATACCATCTCACCCCAGTTAGGATGGCTAATATCCAAAAGACTGAGAATGATAAATGCTGACGAGGTTGCGGAGAAAAAGGAACTCTCATACACTGCTGGTGGGACTGCAAAATGGTGCAGCCTCTATGGAAAATGGTATAGAGTTTCCTCAAACAATTGCACATAGATCTACCATATGACCCAGCTGTTCCACTGCTGAGAACATACCCAGTAGACTCCCCACCCTACCTCAGTGGTGACTACCTCTTCTGCTGGCTCATCTCCTCAAGTCTAACCACAAATATGCACTAATGCTCAGTTCTTGTACCTCTTTTGTCTGTCCACACCTGATCCATGGTAATCCCATTTTGTCTCAAGATGGCACCTCCCCTGTTTAGCTGTCAAGCTGGATCTTTCTCCTGAACTTGGGTCTCGTGCCTACTTGATGCCCCTCAATTGGAAGTCTAAAAGACATTTAAAACTAAATGTATAAAACCAAAATTCCTCTGTACACACTCTTGACTGTATTCTTCCTGAAGTCTTTCCCAACTCAGTGGCTGTTCCACTGTTATCTACTCCAGCCAAAAACCTTGGAGACATCTTTGACAACTCATTTATCATACGCCACAGTTGAGTGATTAACGAGTCCTGTCTTTTCCACCTTCAAAATGTTACTTTTGCCACCTCCACCAGCTTCAGATCTCTATACCTCACCTGGATTATTTTGAGAACCTTCCACCTGAACTTCCTGTTTCCACCCCTGCCCCCTTGAAATCTATTCCCAACAAAGGAGTAAGAGAGATCATTTTAAATCAGATTGTCACTTTTCTGCCTCCCTGGCTTCCCATTTTATTTAGAATAGAAGTCAAACCCCTGCATCCCCATCCTCTTTCTTTATCGTATTCCCTTTTATCCCTCTCCAACCACAGTGATCTACTTGTTCCTTGAACCTGGCAGGAATATCCTACCTCTGGATGTTTGTATATAGTATTTTCTCTTCTTAGAACATTTTTCTCACAGATAACTGTCATTCCCTCACTTTTTTTAGCTTTTTGCACAAATCTTACGTTATCCCTAAGGCCTTCCCTGATCACTTTCTATAAAAATAGGATGTGTGCCTATACACATGCACTCACCTTCACTTTATTTTTCTCCATTAGAAAAACTCTATTAAAATGGAGATTTTTGCCTGATTTTGTATGCTTGTAACAGTGTGCAGCACATAGAAGTCATTAAGAAAAGATGTGCTGAATTACTTAATCCATGATATTTACCACTGTTTGACATACTATATACCTTTGTTACTTTTCCTATTGGAATGTAAACTTCAAGAACATAGACTAGTGCCTGGCATACAGGAAGTGTTCATTAAATATTCAGTGAATGTACAAATTCATAAATGATTAAGGATTTACCCTGGACTTTTAGTGTTTTCCTTTTTACTAAGAGTTTAATATTAGAAGATTACTGAAATCTTATTCAAATGTTATTTACCATTCCCCTTAGGCAGTTCTATCAGTAAATTTCCAAGGTAATTTTTTAAAAACATGTAAATCATTTACCTGTTTTCTCTTCATGCAAATAGCTTATTCCCCCACCAATCACAGTTTTTTTTTTTTGTCTTTTGTCTTTTTTCCGTGTCCGGCAACGGATCGCAACCCTCAGTGTTGCCCCCGTACCGGACCGGGGACCGGCAACGGGATCGCAAGCCTCGGTGCTGCTCCCGCGCCTCGCTCAACCAGTGAGCGGGAACCGGTCTATACGTGGGATCCGAACCCTCAGAAGTTCATACTGTAGCAGTGCACTGCACACTACAAACATGCTTAAGACAAGTTAGAGACATATAGAACTATCATTTACAAAGGATTTCCCTCTGGATGGGCAAAAGAACTTTGAAGTGGCTATGAAGAAAACCTGAAGTCTGCTAAAGGGGGTTAGTAATGAGGACAAAATACTGTTTTTAGGCAGATAGCACAGATAAGAATGTTTCATGAAATTCCTCAAATTTTGCTCAACTTTTAATCATTATTCTCATATGGCTTCATGATCATATAAGTCTTCAAAATCTTACAGATCTTATGTGATTTTACAGACCTTACAGGTACATTATTAAGAAGCAGGGAGTGAAGAATCACTTCCAAAATGTAAAAACAGCTCATTGCTAGTTGTCTCAGAAAAGTCTGTTTGCAAAAATTCACTTTCCTATCAAAACTGCATAATCACAGATTATTTAGGCCAGTCGTTCAAGTAAACTGCCTTTGCCAATAGTGAATTAAGACCATGATTAAAACAGACATTTCTAAAAAGAAAAACCCAACACATTCTATTATATTTTAACTTGTCCTGCAAAACTGTGCACTATGGGTATTTTCCAACCATCATTAAATACTTCAAATAATGAATGTGACCTACCCAAAGATTTGAAGGTTGTGTTCAGATTAAAATTTTAACTGCTAACTTTGCAATTCTATTATTTTCATTTTTTTTTTTTTTGATTTCTAAAAATAAAAAAGGTTAACACTATTTAACTTTTGGTTTTAATCTGCAAAGTAATTTTTAGTGTTTCAGCTTTCCAGTTGATGAGTTAAAATGAACAGGTCAGAAGACATAACCTACGAGATGGCAGTGAAAGATCAGAAAAGGTTTATGTACACACTGGATCATACAGAAATAATCACAACCTCTTTTAAATCCTTATTCTCATTGTAAACTTTGTTCACATCTCCATATTTGTAAGTCTGAATTAGTCTATAAAAATCACATTAAAAAGGTAAAATTATTTAAGTGCAATATTAACTGATTTGTATTTTATAAATTTTAATCCATAAAAATATAAATAAGAATGGTAAATTTTTAAGAAAAGAAATATACATTTAGTGCAAGTTATGAATTACATTTCTTCTTCAGTGTCAGCAGTGAAATATCTTGAGGAAAGAATGAATGACTGATCTAATTTCAAGAAAAAAATTCCAGTGTTTTAACATGCAATTAATATCAGATACAGCTAAACAGAATACTTCCTTCTCTTTGCTGTCAAAGCAGCAGCATTTTAATTATGCTGAACAGCACTTGTATATCATAGTAGTAGTTTTAGAAATAGAAAATTTGCATAAGACCCGGTCACATTATTCATAAAGTCTGAGAGAAAAAAAAAAGAAAACTCTTTATCCTTTAAAGTCAAGTTTCATTGTTTTGATTCTGAAACACACAGCACACAAGCTGAGAGATTTCATTCAAGCTTCATTCGAGATTTTACCTGTTTGGTCAGCCTTTGTTGTGGTGCATGTGCACTGTTCCAAGCATTAAGTGATGATACAAACTACATGGTTAATGGCACAAGGAACACTCCCTTCTTGTGATGAAACCTCAGTAAAATCACAGTACATCTCAATATGAGAAAGGACTGCTTCAAAAGGGTACACCAATTTAAAGAGGTTTTGTTACAGCTCAGGAGAGAGAGAGAAAGAAATAAAGGCTCTTCTGGAATGTAGAAAGGTAATGCTTAACTATACAATTCATGAATTAAACAGAACTGTTTTGATTAAAAACGGTCAACATCTTGCAGTTTTAAAGATGGCTCAATTCAAAGTAATTCCTCCAGAAACAGGGGCTGATGACATGTCTTTGCAATGTTGGAGTAACAGGCCAGGTGCCCAAGGACTCCGGTGTCATCTCCGTTGAGGCTCAAGCCTGCACTTTCATGGCACATCCTTAGCTGAACGCATCCAGTGCAGAACAACAGGAGTTGATTTGCTGCTCTCGGTTAGATGGGGAAATACCTCACTCCTTTCCTTCCCTCTCCCTTCCCTCCCCAAACAACTCCTCCAATCCACCAGCATTATTTGCAAACCATGTTGCAAAAGCCTGGTTTTTATATTTCCTTTTTTTTTTTTTTTAGGAGAAAAAAATGTAGATGACTCCCTCAGGTTAAAGAGTTGTGCTATTCAATAAATGAACTTCCTCTTCTGTTTCCTCTCTCTCTTCATCTACGGGATTCAGTTGAACATTATTGAAGCGGGGTCTTGGTTTGCCGTCTGGGCCATATGACGGAGGATATCTTTTTTTGTTATAATGCCAAGGAGGCGCCTGAAAGAGATAAACAAAAGATTGCTATTAAAATAAAAGGGAAAAGGCAAAAAGAAGCTATAGCTAAATCCTTTTTGTTGACAGAACTAGAGCAAAGCAAGCAGCCTGATTTTGTATTTTCAAAAAGTATTTTATTGGTAAAGATAATAAAATTATCCAGCAACCATTCTTTGATATATAAAGTATGGTCACTAATAGTATGACGTCCTTTCCACTGAGACTCTAAGGATTGCATGCCTCATTGAAGTACAGCTATTTTGATTAATGTATGCCAACAAAAAAGTAACAAAAGAATGGGAGAACATATGAATAGGAAATGATAGTGACCCCATTTGAGAAGGAAAATTCATTCCCATCACATCAAGAAAGCAGTAAAATGTCTGATGACCAAGTCCCTTCAATACTTGACTTTTTTGTTTAACCAAAATTACCCAATTTTTAAAAAGTAATTGAAGGAATGCCCACTTGTATGCAAAATCTTCATGAAAGCACATACAATTGAGATAAAATACATATAAAATGGTCAACACAGAACTTCAATCCCAAACTTCAGAACCCCCAGAATAAATCTATAAAACAACCCAAGTTTCTAGTACACTTATCAATGTTTTCCTTTTTTGATTTTGGCCCAAACAATTAAGATAGAGTGCTTTTATGAAAGTCTTAGTTGTTAATGCTTACATTAAAAGATAGGTGAAAAATCAAGAAGCAGTCCTAAAAGATTATTACAGGTGAAGCAGAAAGCAGAATGAATGAGTAGCTACTATACTATTCTGGTTAGTAGTTTTTTAAAAAAAGGATGCATGAAACACTTGTGAAATATTAGCATACAACAGGAATACATAATCACTTGTGTACTTAAGCAAACTGGGACAGGTTTTATATAGGTATGACAACTGCAGGGCAAAATAATTTCAGGCATTAATTGCTAAAGCCAGACAATTTTTATGTTATATGGTATGATAATTCAAAATTTATCTGTAGTCATGAAACCACTAGGACATAAAGCCAGTTAAAACAAATACATTTTACCCCAAAAGCTGCTTATAGCATTCTAGAGACATCATACAAAAGGGGCACACACATAATCTAGGTACAATTCACTAATGAAATGGCAGGATACATCTTCTGATTTTGAAGGTATGCACGGTATAACAGAAAAAGAATTAATGCTATGATCACAAATATATATACAAATGCTCTAGTTAGTGTGCCCGTTAAATAATCCATTTAACAGTCAACAATTGTAACTGCTAAGCTCAGTTAAAATCACTTAGGAGCTTAGGTTTACCACAAAACTACCACAAGATTAGGAAACATAAAAAGAAAAAGGGTTTGGGGTGATGGGGTTAGACATTTCTAACCAGTCAGGAGTCTTCCAAGACTGGTGTAACCACTATGGTAGGCAGATTTGTCATGTTCAGTTTAAGAATGTCCAATAATATTTACTCATTCAACACCAAACTGTTTACAGTTCTTAAAATTGTAACTAATGATTTTGATGAGAGATGTTAGCTTTTGCTTACTTTCTATGAATGAAATTTTACACATATCTAAATTTATCTTATAGACATACTTTATCCGATACAAATGTTAACTGTCAGCATAGTAGGATTTTTTTTGTTCAGCAGATATCTGGAAAGAGAACTGAACAGTTCACAAGTTTCATGCTTCCTGACTTCTAAGGTGTCTCTAATGAGGAGATCTGATATATCTAATCACCAAGGGTTCGACGTGCTGCTTTAGTTGCTCGAGATGCTCTAATATGTTCTTCTTTGTGATGATCCCCAAGACAATCCTGAAACAGATTATTATGCTAATAACTGTGTGAGAAATTAAATTAAAAGAGGTTCCAATCATGATAAGGAATGAGAGAAAAAAATAAAAACATGAACCAAAAGAATGCTTCTCATGAACTTAAAAAATATATAAACAAAAATAACTTAAAATTCCAGGTTCCTTTTAGATAAATTCTACTGATTTTCAAAAGTGACACAATACTATTTTTAAATATTTGTGGGTTATTTTCCTTTTTAAATTAAAAATCGAAATTATAAGATTTCAGATGGAAGATGGCTACAAAATAAAGTACAAACAAAACAATATTGATATAGCTATAAACCTCTGAAATTTAGAATTTAATTTTCAGTATTCTTTCCTTGGAGGAAATATTTTTCTAATTTCTAAGGTTTCACAAAGCAGCAGCTATCATTCAGATATACTCAGCAGTGAAAAGGTAGGAAAAAGCTTGGCCTAACTGCCTGTGAAAAGACTTAAGAAATCCCTTGGATTTTACTATTATTTGGAATTAAAATTAAAGGCAATGTGCTATAAATAAATAATGCCGACTGACAGAAACACTCTCATTTTCAAGAACTATGGATGTCACTTTTTAAAATAAGCTAATAAAACATATTTATGATTAGGAGTCAAAAGGACTTTTACTTTAAGCATTTTTTTTTCTAAATAATGATTATTTCTCAGTTAACATGTCATTATTATCACATCAAAGTTATGGACATAAATTCTCATAATGAAGATACTTGATTGGTTTTATAATGCAAATTTATGAATTCAACTGCAATCTGTAGCAATATAAACAGTGAAAGTAGAACACTTCAAGAAAAATTTTAATCTTAAATTCTGGAAGCCCCATCCAAAATGGCCTTCAGAGTAATTGGGCATTTCCTTGGTGATTTGGTTAAGTCAATTTTTCTGTTAAAGTGCCTTTGAACATTCTGACTTCCTGAAGAACATCACCACGGGACTTTAAAATAGTCTGGTCCTGTGCATGTGTCCCTTATAAAATAGTTACTTAGAATGATGGCTGTGGACAGGTGTTGGGGAGCAGGGAGGGTAGATAATTGGAAAGGCAGAAATACGTTATCAGCTCATATATTCTCATTATTTTTAAAACATAATGACCCTTAAGAATAAATTGAAAAGTTCTCAGAGCATGGGAACAAATTCCCCTTCCAAAAAAGGTCAGAAACTGCACTATATGAAATGAGCATTCAATCACTCAACAGATGTTCTTCTCTAAATGTTTGAAGTTAAAAAAAAAAAAAAAAGCCATCAATGCACTTGATTTTATGGTTGTAGTCAGGAAATGTGAAAATCTTGGCAATTAATTAAATGCAATAACACCAGTTTAATTCTTAGTCATGTTTTTCTATCCAATTATATAGAATGATTAATTTCAACTAATATAATCCATATTAGTAAACTCTGCCAAATCACAAGGTACATGATGAAGAAAGTTACAAATTTATACAGACCAACTGGCAAACTTAGAGATTCACAAAGTAATCTCTATATTTACAAAGCAATAGCCCTAAAAAGGGAGAAATACACATATTTTCTCTCTTTAGTTAATGGAGAAGAATGATTTGAGAATAATGAGACCAGGTTCAGTGTTACTCTATTAATTTTAGGGAGTAGAAGGAAAATCAATGCAAAATGTGGTTCATATAAAGAATAATTTACTGTTTCTTTTTGGGCTAACAAGTAATGATGTAAGAGCTAATAGGGCATAACCGAGCATTTCCCAATGTATGTTCCAAGGAAACACCAGTCCAATGACTTGTTCTATCCTCTCCCCCCACCAAAAAAAATGGTTGCATTTTCAAACAAGTTTGGAAAACTATGTTTCCTATTACTCACTATCTGGGAATCATAGAATCTCAACATTTTCAGAGTTCTGAGAAGTTCCACTATAATGAAATCTCAATAGTATTTAGTCCAATACTTTCCAGACTTATACAGTCACAAATCTTTTTTTAGTAACTTCTATTAACATCCTGCTAGTTCCACCAAGACAAAGATTTTGAGAAATTCTGCTAAATTACAATATAGAATGTGAAAAATCAGTAACTGATATCTTTATAATTTACGGACACATTTCTCCCTCATCTCTTTATTCTCTAAAAATTAAAAATAAAACAAATAAATTTTTTAATAGATTTGTAGTGTCTCTTCCCCCAAATAACTATTTTCCATCTCTACAGATCCAATATAAAACATGGATAGCTATCCAGAACTTCATAATCTCCACTAAAAACCAGAAGACATGATTTCTTTTCTGGGTTTAATCATTTAAGTTTAAGTGAAAATAAAATACCCTACTTCTGTATATACTTCAAAGAAAATAAAGTCCTAAGAGCCACCTCCCCAAGTGATCTATCTCTTTTCTTTCCATGTATATCAATTTATTTTCCTTGAAGGATAGAAATAAGGAAAACATCATCAAGACAGTTAAACATATCCCCTCAGGAAAAAAAGCTCCCTCACCATATAAACAGGCATCGGATAAAATTTTAATTAGGTATCCACCACCCCCACCACCCACCTTGTTATTTTACACTTTCTTTTAAACATTTTCCTTTCTAATAGCTATACTGTCAAAAACTTGGGAATTAAACAGCAAAGTGAAATGTGAAAATTAATCCACATAGCCACTTTGTGATCATGGTTAGCAAAACTTAGAGAATAACATTTATATTTGTTAGTACATAAAAGGACAAACCATGCCAAGCACAAAGAACAACTTAAGCAAATAGTTTATAACAACTTAGCTTAGGTTCCAATTGAGCTATGTAATAATTTAAAAGGCCCAACGACCAGCAAAGCTTTATGAAAAGTTAGCTTGTTTAACTAGTACTAATTAAGTTTTTAAACAATGAAGTTTGGCACCATCATTTTTTAAAATTAAACAATATTTAACAAAAGAAAATAGTAACAGTAATATTTATTGCATACATTTCTTCTCCAATCAGTATCTGTGATTTTAATAACTCCAAACTCCCTGCCTTTAATTAAGAGCTTTATCCCTTCAATGATTTATTTCATATTCCTGGAGTTATTTTAATTGGTTAGCAAAGTGAAAAACACTAACCATGGATCTAATTCTCTAGTTTAATATTTCTGTTCCTAATCCAATATGGTCTATTATATGAGCCAAGAAACTGTTTTAGTAGTTCAAGAAATCACAAAGAGGGTATAATCTATCAGTCAATTACAATGTAAAATAGTAGCAAGAGATTGGGTTTTCAAGTTGGAAAGAAAGTTTGATTCCCTGATCCATGACTTGCTCACTGTGTGATTTGCAGCAAATTATTAACCTCTTTGAACTTCAATTACTACTTATGTAAAGTGAGGATACTACCGTCTACTTTGAACAGGTTCCTGCAAAGTTAAATGAGAAAACATGAAGGTGTTCAATAAACAAATTTCCTTCCTTTCGGTTCTTTTTTTTCCCTTTCTCTAAACAGGGGTCATGTGTTCTGCCATCCATGTGTTTTGTATAAAATGTCAAAAGAAAAAAAAAAATCCCACAGCGATTCTCTAAGTGTTTAGTTACTTCAACCAGCTTCACGCTGTTCAGGGTTAGCCATCCAGTTTATGCATAATCCAAGAATACTCTTTTTTTTCCTTTCTAACCTTTCTGTTATCTGCCTTCAGATAAAACAATGTTGTAAGAATTTCAATAAGAAACAGTAATATAACGGAAATAAAGGGGCCTAAAGAAAGAATGGGAGGGGAAACTAATCCCAGGCCCAGGAAAAGAGGAGAGGAGAGCAGTGGTGATGAAGAGGGAGTATGCTGCTGAGGTATCCCGTGCATTAAGTCTCCACAGCCCCATTGACATCTGTCACTTTCCTATATTCCTATAATGGAGAAACACTGGCAGTTTATATGTAAAAGGCAGAAAAATAAATTATCAATACATACATTTTAAGTACTGGAGTGTTGATCTGTCACTAGCAGTTTAGGTAAAAGATTTATAGATGGAGAGGGCAGACAAGAGAAAACAAAGCATTTTTTAAAGGAGATTTTTAGCTAATTTATAAATTTCATTTCATTACAGTCCTGAGTTGCATAACGACGGGGATACGTTCTGAGAAATGTGTCTTTAGGCGATCCTGTTGTGTGAACATCATAGTGTGTACTTACACAAACCTAGGTGGTATAGCCTCCTACACACCTAGGCTGTGTGGTACAACCATTATAATCTTATGGGACCACCATCATACTGCAGTCTGTCATTGACCAAAACATCATTATGCAGTACATGACTGTATATATTCTTTCCTTCATTACATAATAAATCCAATATTGGCTGAAGAGTAAATACCAAAATACCTACAAGGTTTTATATTAGAAATTTATATTTAAAAATGAAATATTTACAACAAGAAAATAGGTTTTTGCAGTGCTCCACACAGATTAGGTCCACTATTTCTCTAAGAAAGGAAATACTCTAAAGCTCAACATACCGTTCATATTGGAGATGTTTCAGCACCTCTTTTCCAATTTTGAAGTATTCTTGACAAATGACACTTTACATTTTGGCAAAGAGCAGGCAGTTGACTTCTTTCTTATTCTTTAGTAAGGGGAAAATTTGATCAACTGATCCTGTATTTATAACCATACTAAATAACACACTTACCCACTTGGGGGCTGACACACTCTCCCCTAATAAATAACTATATACAAACTCCACTAAAAAGGATATAGAATCTGGTAAGTAAACTCATTTCTTGGTACCAAACTTACCCATTGTGAGTTACAAGGCATTGCCTCAGACCCAACTTTCGGAAAATATCCACCACAATCTCCATTGGGGTGTGGTCTGTCACCGTAAAAGGGCTCATATCAAGAATGCTTCGAAGCTTCAGTGGCCGGGGACTTTCTGCTGGAAGAGATGGGGTGTGCTGTGCAAAACACACCCGAGAACTGCCAACGATACCTTCTTGTTTTTTTCTGGCACTTTCTGAAAAGAGACAGAGAAAACAAACATTTTTTAATTGATGGGTTTTGTTTCTTTATGGGCAACCTGTTTATTCAAAGATAAGAAATAAATGTATCCTGTGACTTTTGGTCCCTTCACTTTTTCCTGTCTTCTCCTTAACCAGGAAAATAATTCATTGAAAAGCCATTTAACAATTTCTTATATTTGATTGAATTAGAATCCATCAATAACAAATCATCTTCAAGTAAATAAAATTTTGGTATAATTATATCATGGTACAATATTCTTTACTGGAATGAAGCTATTTTCTAACTTTGGGGGACAAGAAAGCATGTTTGGAATATGGGATTTTAAAACCTCTACAAATTACGAGAGCAGCTTATTATCAGAATCCATCAATGAATGAAGCCTGCCTATGCTAAATGTTACTTATTCTGCATTGGACGTGGAACTAAAGAGAGTTTCAGCCTTGCTTTGACTATGTTGTGTACTCTACCCCTGTGAATTAGCTGGTTCTTTCTCTTTTCTTATGTTAAATTACAATTTCTAGAGGAGTCATGAGCATTACAGATGGGTTGAAACTGGAATGGCACACAAAATGAACACAGACTGATTTTGAGGGTTGTTTTATTAGTAAAGGCTCTGTTAATTTCTCCTTCTTTCCAGTGTGCTCTGCTTAAGTGCTTCTGTCCTGCTGCCTACTTCCAGTGTCACCTCTGAAAGTGCTAGACAAGAAGTAGCAAAGATGGAGAGAAGTGCAGAGACCACTAGGAGAGGAAAATCTATGAAATGGAGAGAATATGAAAATAAGACAGTCATTCAGCTTTATGTTTCTATTTTGATTTGGTATTATTCAAAACTGTGTGGTTACAAGTATGGTATTTGTTATAATAAAAATATTTTGAACATAAATTTTGCTACAAACATATTTTAGCCAAAACAATAAGCACTAAGTTGAGAAGCAGATATTACTGCTCATAAACAAATACTGCAATGCTTTTTACTCCTTCTGACCAGTAAAACCTTATTTAACTGTGTTGTAACACATTCAAGTAGAAAGGTACTGAGTGAAGTCTTAATGGCTAGTACTTACTAGACCACCTTAAAAGCATGAGCATGGCATGAAAAAGAAGGAAGTCCATTAGCAACTGATATAAATGATTTTTGAAAAATGCTCATTAAGTTGCTTTTAGCCTGTACCAATAATCTGGCTAATGACCTGTGTCTGACAACTGAATGGTGAAGTATAAGTACTATCAGCATGTATCATTAATGGTTATACAAAATAAAAAGATGTCAAGTGTAACATCGGTAGTACAAAATGTAGAAGAGGGAGAATAAAAGTGTAGAATTTTTGTATGTTAGAAATATATAGTCAAATTCAGAATACTCTAATACTGTAATGGGTATGTGTAAATCAATTTCAACTCTAGTATAAAAGTTCAAAGACAGAAGTATTAAAAATAATTATAGCTACACTAATTTGTTGATACACAAAATAAAGAGATGTGAAGTAAATAGTATGTATGACATACTGAGTTAAAATTAATCCCAATTGTCAATCTTAAACACCGATAAAATAACAAATACTAAACCATCAGCAAAAATATACTGATTGTTTAAATAAACATTTAATGATAAAACAATTTTAGAAAATTTTAGAAAAAAATATTAACTTATTAATTGGAATGTTCCTCTGATACACAGGCACCAGAAGTAATCATCCGGTCTCTCTGACTTTAATTTGTCATTTTATGAATATCAATTTTATTCTCTCATTTTATTTAAAAATTGCCAAGAGAGATTATAAATGTTCTTACCACAAAAAAATTAAGTATGAGGTGATGGATTAAATGAGTTATCACTTTTTTTTGGCAGCTGTCCGGTATGGGGATCTGAACCTTTTACCTTGTGTTATCAGCACTGTGCTCTAACCAAGTGAGCTACCTGGCCAGCCCCTGTGTATCACTTTTATATGAATACAGTAATTATTTTAACAAGCATCATTTACTGAACATTTACTACGTGCCAGGATATCTGCTATTTTAAATCTTTAAAATTATCTTTGATGCCATTCAATCAAACACCTTTGAAGCAGAAAACATTACAGTATTTTCTGATATGATTCGGAGAGAAAGGGTAATTTATCTAATTTAGCATATTTCAAAGATTTTATTTTGTGAGATATCATGGGGAATTTTTTTGTCTTTCAATAAAGTATTATAATTTTATACATATATAAAAATTTATATATTATATGTAATTTTATAACATATACATAAAACCAAACATACAGGTCTATTTATTCCAGTCAAAAAATTAAAACTTTACAAAAACACACATGGGTAAATATTTAAAGTGTGTTCAAAAAGTCATCATGTGACTAACGTTTCTGATGACATGGCTTGATATCTCACATATCTAAAGTACAGGCTGAGTACCTTTTATCTAAAATGCTTGGAACCATAACTGCTTTAGATTCCAAAATTTTTCAGATTTTGTAATATTTGCATATATATAATGAGATATCTTGGGGATGGGTCCCAAATCTAAACATGAAATTCATTTATGCTTTATATATTCCTTATATACATAGCCTGAAGGTAATTTTATACAATATTTTTAATAATTTTGTGCATGAAACAAAGTTTGCATACATCGAACCAACAGAAAGCAAAGGCACTATCTCTTGTTGGTGCTCAAAAAATTTTAGGTTTTGGAGCATTCCTGATATCTGATTTTCAGATTAGGGATGTTAAACCTAGACCCCTATTCTCTTAAACCAACATTATGTCCTATCCCAATATTCTATCTCTCAAGACAGTGACAAAACTTTTAAAAGTATATCCACAGAATCAGTGGTAATATGAATAATTCTTAATTTTGGCACTTTCTGCTTTATCTTTTAAAAATCTGGCCTTTTTTCCTTCAAATTTCTATGTATATTCCAAAAGTCTGACCTTCTTTTCCTTTTCTTTGTCTGGCTACCAGTAAACCTAGAGAGTGGGAATCTAAACAATGAAATTATTTTCTGACTAGGTTTGGTCATAGTAACAGCTTCAAAGCTAAAACACTTGAATACAGCCAAGTCTGACAACATACTTTGCCACCTCTGGCAACTACTCTTCTATTACCTAAGCAAAACTTGAAAAGATGGGATTGCTAACCTTTGAAAATTCTTCCAAAAATTTTCCTAAACCAAACAGGATGTTCTCTATATAATCTTTTACTTTCTTTTTCTCTCTCTTTTTCTTTGCTTTAATAGGTCTTGCAAATTAAGAGCTTTTGAGAAATACTCTCCATCTACTTTGTCTAATCTCCCTTCTTCAAATGGCACAAGAATTATTTCACAATCCTTTTGCAATGGCCACAGAGGTAAACCGGAGGGGAGATGACCTGCTCACAAGCATGACCTTTGGGGACAGGCCAAATACTTGACACTTCCAGCTCTGGGTCCTGTACTAAAAATTGGAGGGTAATAAAGAAATGGCTTGCTGTATCTATTTTCTATCACCTTTGGGGCTGGGGGGAAGAGGAGTCAGATTGTGTTGAAAAGAATTAAAAGTCTTACTGGCATCTTCATCAATATCATAGGATTCTAAAGTAAGGGGAAAAAATAAATTTTAAAGGAACACAAGTGCTTCCTCTGCAGAAAAAGTTTATCACTAAGAAATAATATAGTATGGCCAATATCTTTACTATATTTTCAGGAATGCCAGCATAAATAAAACAGGACTGACATACTTTTTCAACCTGGCATTTGACCAAAATCAAAAGATAATGATTTCTTCACTTTAAAATACATATTATAAGGCCGGCCCGTGGCTCACTCGGTAGAGTGCGGTGCTGATAACACCAAGGCCACGGGTTTGGATCCTATATAGGGATGGCCGGTTTGCTCACTGGCTGAGTGTGGTGTTGACAACACCAAGCCGAGGGTTGAGATCCCCTTACCGGTCATCTTTTAAAAAAATAAATAAATAAATAAAAAATAAAAAATAAATAAATAAAATACATATTATAGATTAATATTGTAATCCTAAATCCAAAGACTGAAAAAGCAAAACCATGTTAATCTAATATGAAAGGGAACAATGAAGAGGGGATTTTTCAATAACTTGTATTCAAATAAGCCAATTCTATTAAATACAAGAATGTATTTTCCTGAATGTATTTAGCTAAGGCTTTATATTATAGGCTATGAAGCATAACCAATATCAACTTAAGGAAAAAAATTTTTTTCTTTTTTAAAGATGACCGGCAAGGGGATCTTAACCCCTGGCTTGGTGTTGTCAGCACCACACTTGGCCAGTGAGCAAACCAGCCGTCCCTATATAGGATCCGAACCTGTGGCCTTGGTGTTATCAGCACCGCACTCTCCCGAGTGAGCCACGGGCCAGCCCTCAATTTAAGGAAACTTTTTAAAAAAGAATCTGACTTCAATCTTTGATAACAAGGCCAAATCTAAAGATAAAACTATATTAAGCAGAAAAACAATCTGTTGAGGCATAAATTCCTTTCCTAGAAAACATAAGACTAAGTGACATAAGATAATACCCCTTCCCCCCCACAAACCCAACCAATTAAATTTACTGCTTTCCTTTCTTCCAGAAATCTATTATGTGTGTGTGTATATATATATATATATACACAGGGATATAGATATTTATATATATATATACACATGGATATAGATATTTATATATATATACATATATATTTTTAAAGAGTACCTATTGCAATTGTCAGGTCTCTTCTGAGGGCAAATCCCACTAATCTCTGAGATTCTTTGGACATTATGACAGGAAAGCCATTGTAGCTGGTTTCACTAATCATGTTTTCTATATCATCCACTGTCATATTGTCCTGTGTCAGGACAGCTAAGGGAGGATCATTCCTTCGAGGTCTCATAACATCAGCAGCGAGGGTGGTATGAGTGAATTCTTCTTTTGCATCCAAGAAAGGGTATCCATTTAATCGGATGTGCGCTTCATAAATGCCCTCCCTACCAAATGCATCTCCAACCCATTTACTGGTCATCACTGCAGCCATAAGGGGAACGATATATTCCAAGCCTCCAGTAAGCTCAAAAACAATAACCACCAGGGAGACCGTCATCCTTGTCACACCACCTGAAAAAAATAAGCACCATTGGTCAGGAAGAACAGCATCCTCATCATGTTACCAGAATTTCTGCACTAGGCAGTTGAACACAAAATTGTGTGTAGAACTCAGTCAGTGAAAAGCACGGTCAAAAATACCACTCCTCTCTTAGGACAATAATCACTACTTTTAATAAGATACAGAGAAACACCAATCTTCTTTGTTTAGAACACAGAAGCCTATTAAAATAATATTTTAAAACCTGTTTACCTCAAAGTAAAAGAAAAAAAAAGTCACAGCTGACCAACTAAAACAATTTTGCTATCTTGGTTTACTGCTATAGCAAAGATAATTTCACCCTGATAAAAACTTATTAAGGAATTTGGTGAAGCACATCATGGCATCTTGTTTGCTTCCAATTTACAAATTAAACTCATATATGGGTAGAATATTAATTTGATAAATTTCTCTCCTCTAAATCCTTTCAAAATATGTAAAATATTTTGATGCCATGTGATTTACATTAACAATGTAAATAAAATTCCCCATAGAAAGCTCATCTATTTATTTATCCAAATCATCATTCTCAACTATCAACTCCATGGTGACATCTCCCTAACCACAGCTTTCTACTTACTGTTGCCTTTGCCCCCATGTCACAAATTATTCATACCATATCTAACTGTTGTGTTTGTCTCACTTTTCAACTGTAAAAAGACTTCGGATGACCAACTGTCACAGAAAACACCACATACTTAAACCAAACTCTTCTTATTTCCCCAGAGAGATCCTCACTCCAATTTCCCTGTCTCCAACACCAGGTACCACATTCTTCCTAACAACCTAAGTAGTCATTCTTGGTTCATCCCTTTACTTTATCCAAACATCTAGGCATCTAGATTTTGTTCCTTAATTTTAATGCCATTTTATCTTACCTCCTTGACTTTAGGCCCCATTACCTTCAATCCACTTTATAAGCCATGTTCTCAGGTTAATCTTTCCTAATTACTATTTTCATCATGTTACTCCTTTGCTTAAAAACCTACCATGGCTCACTGGTTCATACTGTATTAAGCTTGAACTCTTCCTTTTTGTTTTTTAACCTAAGAATAGAAGGGAGAAAGAATCTACTATATATTACATATCTACTCTATGCCGGGCATGTCTTGATCAGTTTACAAAGGCTTTTCTTTTTTTAACTAAGCACTTATTTTACTACCAGACACTATGCAAACAGCTTTACATGCATTTTATTTCACATAATCCTGAAAACAATTTTAGGAGGTAAACAGCTGTTTTTCCATTTTATAGATTAGAAAAATTATAAATCAAAGTACTAAAGGAACTTTCCCAAAGTCATCAAGCTAAAAATGGCAAAGCCATCTAATTCATGTAAATTCATCCTGACATGTCAGGTTCCTTGTCTTTTCATAATCTGTTCTTTCTCACCAATCCAACTTCATTTCCCAAAAGTACCCAAATGTATTCTCCACTGAAAGATAGTCAGTTTCTTCAAAGCCCCATAAGTATAAAATTTATTCCCATCTCAATACCTTTGTGTTCACATTATAATCTTCAATAAAGTCCTCTCTTCTTTCAGTTCTACTAATCTTTTAAAATAAAGTATGTTCTACCCTTCCTGAACTACTTCAGCTCTTTCTTCCTCTAAATTCCTACAAGATTTAGACTCTATATATACACTGTATACAATCATTATCTATTGCTCACTATTGTTTCCTCAGTGTTGGTCTTTTCTCCCCAACATGTCTGTAGTTAAGGTTGGGCCCACGTTTTATACTTTTTGTAACACTCACTGTACCCAGCACAGTGCTGAAAAGAAAGCAGATGCTTAATAAATACTTGCTACTTTGGTGAAAATGATTCTATCCTTCACTTTCATTTGATATTATACTTTTGAAGATCGATAATTACATAATTTTGATTAACGGGACAAAAATAAAGTCAAAATGTCAACTATTATTAAATACTATAACCAAAGTTTAGCTGACATTTTAGATATAAAAAGAAATAACTATCTTTCATGCCCATAAGGACAATAGATTCATATATTTAATGCAGATATTTTGCATTTCTTTTCATTATAATAAGGAGTTGCCTTTTCTCATTTTGTGATAGTTCAAATATGCTAACTACTATTAAATTTTAGTATTAAGAAATGCTCTGAGACAGGTAAAATGAAAACTAGTACAGTATAATACCATAATGGTACTACTATTTCATTTCTGTTAAAATATTCCCTCCCTCTGTTCTATACTCTCCCTCTCCCACCAACCCAACCACCAATTAAGTATGAGTATGCTCCCACTTGCTCCTTTCTCCCTCAGACTTGCAAACTTCTACACACAAATAGACATAGTTATATTACCTAAGCATGCAGCAGCACCAACCATGGCATAAAGGCCAGGTGTAATGCAGTCAGCTCCGACCTCACACCACTCCTTAAAGATAAACCAGTCATGGTGATAGTAAGCAAGCTGTTCCACTGCAATCCCCACAATCCTTCCTGCGATTGCTCCAATGGCCATGCTGGGGATAAATAAACCTGACGGAACCTATAACAAAAACAGAACTCTTAACAAAACAGAGATCCTCTGTTTACATGCTTGAAACCTACATTCTACAGATTAGTTTCTAACAATTGATTCTTTTCACATTTATTTATATGGCAAAATCCTATTAAAAATTAAACTATACCAAAATCTTGTTATAACAGTACCTTAACAATTCCATGAATTCGGTTACAAAGTAACAAACCACATTCTCTAGGCCAAAGAGAAAATAACTCAAGGGGCATTTATCCTTTAGTTCAGGGGTTCCCTAATGCTAGTCCCTAATAAACTTTCATTAGTCCATTGTGAAATGAAAAAAAAAAAAAAACACAACAATAAAATATAAAGTATTTTTCATAAAAGTAAATCAATTCAGTTTAAAGCACTGTACTTTCCTCTAAGATTATGCACTCCACATATTACAAATGATAGAAATTTTAGATGCTATTCCTCTTAAGTGGTACAATGTAAAGTGCTCAGTCTTATCAGAGTCCCCCAATATTTTGAGTGATTTGTGTGTGTGTGTATACATATATATATATATGAATCAAAAGGAAAAATTATTTAGTTATTAAATTTCATGAGGATAACAGGAACAGCAAACACCTTAATCAAGACCATTTGAAGTCTAGTGAAAGACTAATAACTCTACACTGTTCTGAATATGAAACAAGTCAATCAGAAAATGATTGCATGTTGGACTGTACCAGGATCAAAGGGACACACAGTGTGAAAGTATCAAAGTTTGTTTTACACTCTCCTGCCAGTTATGATCCTTCAACCAGAGCTTAGTGTAAGGTGGGACTTCATAAAGGACTACCAATTGCCTGAAGTTCAACTGATGGTAAGAAAGCTGGGACTTACAGAAAATCAACTTGCTATAGAAAAAGGAGCTTTAACAGTTCCTTTAACATGATTTGCCAAGAAAAAAATGTTAAAACTGCTAGGCTTCTCTATTATTTAACTCTTAACACGCAGTGAATTAAACATAGAGGACAACAGAAGATATCTTCAAAACTAACACTACTCCATGGGGCCGGCCCGGTGGCGCACTGCTATAGTGCGCCGCTTGGGAAGCGCGGTGGCGCTCCCGCCGAGGGTTCGGATCCCACATACAGACCGGTTCCCGCTCACTGGCTGAGCGAGGCGCAGGAGCAACGCCAAGGGTTGCGATCCCGTTGCCGGTCCTGGTCCGGTATGGGGGCGACACTGAGGGTTGCAATCCGTTGCTGGACACGGAAAAAGACAAAAAAAAAAAAAACTAACACTACTCCAATTTGGTTGAAATAAAACTTATTCCACATAATTTACATCTGTGAAAACACATGATCCACTAATAAATATTAACTAGTAATAATTTAAAGAACAAGGATAAGCTGATATCTGCTTGCCCATGTATATCACCAATAGTCATACAAGAAAGTTTTATTTACTGACATCAATAATCAACAAACTTTCTCACTTTTATAAGTCCAAGAGACACAACGTCCCAGGGCATAAGGTCTAGCTGCCTTAAATCCTCGATAGGAAATGGTATGGTAATCATAGGCCTAGTAATTTAACTCTGAGTCTACAGTGTCCTCTCTCAAGCTAACACACTATAGTAGTATGGCAGACAGAATAATGGCTCCCCAAAGATGTCCATATCATAATTCCTAGAACCTGTACATATGTTATGTTACATGGCAGGAGAAATTAAGGTTGCAGATAGAATTAAGGTTACTAATAAACTGACCATAAAATAGATTATCCTGGATTATCTGGGTGGGCTGAAAGTAATCACTTGTAGGGCTTTTTAAATGTGGAAGAGGAGGGCTGGCCTGTGGCTCACTTGGGTGAGTGTGGTGCTGATAACACCAAGGCCACGGGTTCGGATCCCTATATAGGGATGGCCAGTTAGCTCACTTGGGAGAGGCCTGGTGCTGACAACACCAAGTCAAGGGTTAAGATCCCCTTACCAGTCATCTTTTCAGAATAAAAATAAAAATAAAAATAAAAATAAAAATAAATGTGGAAGAGGGATTTAGAAAAGTTAGTGTCAAAGTGATGAGACAAGAGAAAGACTTGATCAGCCATTGCTGGCTTTAAATCTGGAAGGAGGCCATAAGCCAAGGAATACAAGCAGCCTCTAAAAGATGTAAAAGGCAAAAAA